CACATCCTTGCCAACACTTACCTTTTGTCTTTCATCCTTGCTAATTCAGTTTTACCTTAAACATCATTTCTCTCATTGCACTATATAAACATTCTCCCTTTCCCAACCACTTTTATTTCATTATTCTGCTTGATTTTCTATTCTATTGCCTATTTTCCACGTATTGCCTGTGTGCCATATTTTAGTATGAGTTTCTTAAGAGCTTGTACCCTATTATGGTTATTTATCTTTATATCACCAAGACCTAGGAAATCACCCACCACTAATACTCATGTTTAGCATAGCTATATATTCCATAGTGTGGGGTAAAAATAAGAATTTTATCAGGACTGAATATTTTAGCACAATTCATGATAAAAAAGATGGATATTATTTTGGATATACATTTGCATTTATTTAATTATATAATATTAAGAGCCAAGGGAAAATAAATGCCATAGGAAAATAATTCTTTTATAGCATACTATTTGGCATATTCATTCTAGGTATGCATTACAGTGATATTTATAGGGCCATATTCCTATAAAGTTATTTATAGCCTTCTTTACTACTCAAGAAAAGAAATAACCACCCAAATTTATCTTTTCAGGGTTCTGTTGTTTATTCCCAAATGAACTCTCCCCAAGGCAAAACTTCTGAAAAGTTTTTTTTTTTTTCAGTCAAATATACTCTATAGAAGTCTATCCTGTGGGAGCAGGAAGCAATGCAGGCTGATTTCACGGTGTTACAAAATGGTAAAAGTAAAGTGAGGCTTTGGGGGGCACTGCTCTGATCCTAATCCATATTGTGCCTCCAAGTATCAAAGGGCTGGACAGAAAAACAAAGGCCATTCTGTAATCCACGTTTAATATGGCTGACAGAAAGTTCAGCGTGAGTGTGTCCTCACCCATTTAATATGACTGACAGAACATTCAGCGTGAGTACCTCCTCACATGCTTTATTTTCCAATTAAAAGCAACAGAACCCCCTGGACATGGTAAAGCATTTTCTTTTCATCTAATTCTATATATATTTTAGACGTTTTAAAAATATCATTTGCCAGTTTCTAATTATGTAAACATAAACCAATCCTTGACTGTCTTCAAGGTAGATAAAAATATCAGTTATTATTAAGCTGATAATGCTAGCTCCAGAGGTCAGGAGATTCAAGAGATTTTATAAGTTCAAAGAAAACTATGGAAAAAAGTTACAAGTCTAAAGTTGTGTACAGCTAATTATTGTGTGGAAAAAAGTATAGATTTATTAAAAGTCACGGGAGCAGCACAAGCAAGGTGCCTCTGAGTCTCTACATTACTTAGAAGCTGTCTTCAAGAAAAAAATTAAAGTATGTAACTTTACTGTATACATGTAATTTAAGGCATTTCATTTATATATAAAATTTAATTTTTCATGTAATATATTTTGATCGTGTTTTCTCTCTCCGAACTCCTTCCAGATCCTTCCCACCTCGTTACCTGTCTGACTTCAAGTTCTCTCTCTGTGTCAAAACTAAGGGAGAAATCAAAACAAACAAACAAACAAAAAAACAACTCCAACGAGACAGAAGAGTGCCCAAAGAAAACAAAAAGGCCACAGAAAGCAAAACTAAAATGTGGAGTCTGAGTCTTTGTACTGGGCGACTGCTCCTGGGCTCAATGCCTTGCTGTGATGTGGGTGATTTGCCCAATGGTAGTACATAGGAAAAGACTGACTTTCCCTTTCCCAGCAGGAATCGATTGCATATAACTTCTTAGTTCATGATAGGACTCTGTCCACCCCAAACAGAATGGTCAAGATCAAAATTTTTATGAATTTTTTCTTATAATGAAAATATATTTTCCCTTCCCTTGGTCTTCTCAGTTCCTCCAGATCCATACCCTTTCTGTTTCTCGTGGACATCTAAGGAATAAAGCCAAAATAAGATAAAACAAAAAGAAACAAATTAGAATAAGACAAACAAACAAATAGAGGAAAAAAGAGTCAAAGAAAGAGCACGAGGAACACATGTAGACAGAGACACACAGGTTTGCATACACAGGAATGCCATAAAAAGACACAACTGGAAGCCATCATATACATGCAAAGTGCCTATAAGGTTTTCAAAAACAAAAAGAAAAAAAAAGCAAATTCTCCAGCAGCGCTATGGGACAAAGACCCTCCAACGATGCCTTTGAATTTGTTTTATGTTGGTTATCTACAGGTGGGGTCGACCCTTAAGAGTGGTTTATTTCTTCAGTGAGAATCTCTTGAAGAAAACTAAATTTTCATTTGCAAGTATTTATTAATTGGAGCTGGATTCTATGTTAGGGACAGGAGTGTGTGTCCATTTACCCTCTCAACTCTTAAGTCCTGTCTGGTACAGACCCATGTAGGTAGGCCCTGGATATGATGCCTCGATCTCTTTGAGTTCATATGTGTGTCAGTGGTGTTCTGTTTAAAAAGCCTTGTTTCCTTGGTATCCTCCATTCCGTCTGACTCTTATACTCTTTCTGGCAAAGGTTCCCACGGGAACCCACAAACAACCCAGGGTACCCCAAAAGCTTTCGGTTGCTCTCCACAAACTGATAGTAATGCCCCATTGCTGAAGACTACACCTACACAATTCATTGAACACAGAGAAGTTGAACTGGTGCCTACAAGGAGCCTTCACCCCATCCCTAGCGTTCATGCTACTGGAAGGTACTCTGCATTCTATCAGAGGAGAAAGGGAAACACCAACACAGCTACAAATCCTTCAGTATACAGTGAGCTGGTACAATAATGGCACAAATTTTGTGGGCACAGCCAATGAAGATTTGATTTTATTTAAGGCCCATGCCATGAGATGGAACAGATAGATACTGGCACTGCTTGGGTATCGACAAACCCAACAGTAGATAACCCAGGGACTTAGAATAAAACCAAATACTATGGTTCTACTAAAGGGCCATAGAGATAAAATGACTCCTGTAACATTATGGGGGCCAGCTTGTTTGTTGGGGTTTTTGTCCTGCCCAGTTCCCCCAGCTGTTTAGTCCCAAAGTAAAATCACACAAGAGATCTCTGTAAGTTATAAAGCTGATTAACCCATTAGGTCAGGCTACTTATTAGCTAACGCTCACATCTTGATTAACCCATTTTTTTCTGATCTATGTTAGCCTTGTGGCTCAGTACCTTTTTCAGCTGGCAGATCACATCCTGCTGCTTCGGTGATCTGGGCAGGAGTGGGAGTAATCAGCTTCCTCCTTCCCAGAATTCTCCTGCTCTCCTTGATTCATTTCCACTACCTGTCTGGTTTTCCCGCCTATGCCTCCTGTCTGGCAAATCAACGTTTATTTAAAACATGATTGACAGAATACAGACAATTCTCCCGCACCAGACTCCTAACCACATTCTGCTATATTCATTGATCAGTGCCTTGCTCAGCCATCATCTGAGAAACTTACTTCTGCAGCAGGTGGGAACAAATTCAGAGACCTACAAATAGACAATTTACAGAAAGCTTTAAATGGGATGTCTCTGTCAAAATTTCTATGAGTTTAAAAAAGTTATGGCCTTACTGTGTAACCCAGACTAGCCTAAAACTTGAAATCTTCTATTGCAGATTCTCAAGTGTTAACTTACAAGGTGTCTCTAGGCCTGGGTATACAATTTTCTAAAGTAACAAAATGCAATATGAAATGTTGTACAACTTTTCCTGAAGAGATCTGAGCAAATGCCTACTCACCTGAAATATAGTGCCCAGAACCGGTCAATAATAACCTATCCTATTAAGTTCAGCATGGAGACACATCCTGGAATTCCTTATAGGAATTTGGATTGCTCAATGATTGCTGTACCACTAAAAAGCTCACACTAGCATAACTATGACTCTGAAATGCTACAACTCCAGAGATCTCTGCTGGCCTTGCATGCCGCTCATTAGGTCCCAAACCTCCTCCTGGCAATTGTTCCCTGATTATAACCCTGCAGAGTGGCTCTGTGGTTAACTTTCAGCTTCCTGAACTTGTGTGATTTGTTTTCACTCAAAGTCTCATGAACTCCACTCTTCTCTCCAGGAAGCTATGCCTCAATTTAGGGGAAATTGCTATGCAACAAACGGTAACAAAAATTGAAAATCTTTATTTTTTTCACAAAGCTTTCTGTATTTTGTCATTTGGAAAAGAACTAAAAACAGGTTTTCAATGTTTCGTGTATATTTAGATTTCCAGCTTTCTTTTTTTAATCACGTGAAGATCAAATTAATCAATACCAATTATATTTCAAAATTCCAGATGTTCCTCTGTAGTTATAAAATGATTGTGATGTGATGGTTTAGTTAGTATTTAAGCCATATTTTAAAGTAATAAATGCAAGGTCACCAAAAAAGATGTTTGTTATCTTAGCATGTTTAATTGCTGGTGTTTTGTTCCTATGTTAATTTGAAAGTAAAATAACTAAAAGATAAAGAAAAATCAGATGTCTTACACAAAATGCTTTCATATGGTCCAGAGTTGTCTCATTAGACTGAGCCCAAAATTAGAATGGCCTCATATATCACCAAGATGTACCGTGCTTTTGGTAAAAACAAAACAAACAAACAAAAAACCTGAAAAACACTGGAGGAGACAGTCTGAGCAGAGCCTAAGTTCTTCACAGATATGAGGATGCCTACTACCACTGGGGAATGATACCCAACAGTGAGTTCTTCCCAACTAATCTGGTTAGTCTTTGCTCATTCCTAGTTTGAAGATTTGAACAACAATAAAACACAACCCCTCGTGCACACTTATTTATTCTGTATTTGATGAATATGAGTTACAGTGATGGGTGTTTTTCACAAGTATTTCATGAGAGATTGATTACAAAGAATAAACATTAAAAATGACCCTCCTACTTTGGAAAGGTGTAGTATAATTATATAGTTACAGGCCGGGGGCCGGAGACAATAAAGAATGCTAATTAGAACACAAGAATGATGTAGACTGTTGATCTTTTCCTCAGACGACCAACGAAGTCTCATCGTGTCTCTCTTCCCTTACCCGTTTTCCTCTTTCATGTAGACGCTACCCTGAGTGTCGTTGCCTCAACTTTGGATCCTGGTTTTTGTTATCCTTCCCGGTTGCCATTATCCTTCTACTCTTGTCCTGGATCTGGCTTCAGTGGCTTTTCTTAGGATTCAAGTAAGTAGACATTTTACTTTGATGTGATAAAGGTACCTGTGACCCATGTTTTTAGCTTTATTTCCAGTGCTCGTTGCCGGCTGCCAAGACCTGGTAACAGAGGTTTCTGTCCCACCTGGACCTGCAGCCATTCCATCGCAAAGAAACACATTAATCATAAACTAGTTGGTCTAGTAGCTCAGGCTTCTATTATTATTATTATTATTATTATTATTATTATTATTATTACATTAGCCTATAATTCTTGTCTGTTTTAGCCATGTGGCTTGGTACCTTTCATCAGCGAGGCATTTTCATCTTGCTTCCTCTCCATCTAGCTTCCTCTGTGAGAACTGCAGACTGACTCCTCTTCCCAGAATTCTCCTGTTCTGTCGCCCCATCTCTATTTCCTGCCTAGCTACTGGCCAGTCAGCATTTATTAAAATACAAGTGACAGTGACAGGGTACAGACCGTTGCCCCACGGTATCCCCCCTTTACTTCAAAACAAGACCTCTGAATCGAATCTCCTTTGTTTACCTTTTCTCCTGACCATTATCCATAACAACTTTTAAATAACATTCTAAACAAAGGTAAACATCCATAATCCATTTTTCTGGGAATATAGGCATAGTTTTCCAGGCTACTTCCTGATGATTGGGGAGTGTTGCTAATCTTATGGGGACCTAAAGAAAATTTTGAATTTTGGTCAAGTTTGGAATGGAATATTCTGTGAAGCCTGATCATCTCAGCCATAGTCTTGAAACCTTCTGAATGCAGAACTCAAAGGAAACTCCAACAGAGGTTCTCTAAAATATCGGATGATCTGGACCGTCTCTTCCTATTCTCTTCCTATTAGAATTCTTGAGTACATTTTCCTTGATCAAACCTGATTTTTCTTAGCCCAGAATGAATCCACAGCCTCTCATTTCCTGTGGAAACAAAAGCAAAACCTCTTCTCCAAAGTAACATACCTTTTGACTTAAATTTTGAAGTCAAGGCATTTTCAAAATATATATGTTGGGTTAATCCAGAAGTACTTATAATCAAATATCTTTTAGCAGCTTTTGATCCTTCCTCAGCCATCAGACAATTTAAAGACAACACAATAACATACAGTATCCAGACTTTCTGTGTATTTTTCATCTTTATGTGGCTTTATTTTAAACTCTACTTTTTTATTTTTATTTTATTTTTTGGCTTTTCCAGACAGGGTTTCTTTGTGTATCTTTAGCTGTCCTTGAACTTACTCTGTAGACCAGGCTGTCCTTGAACTCACAGAGATCTGCCTGCCTCTACCTCTCAAGTGCTGGGATTAAAGTTGTGAGCCAGCACACCTTGAACTCACAGAGATCCACCTGCCTCTGCCTCCCAAGTGTTTGGAATTAAAGGTATGTGCCACCACACCCAACTACTTCTTTTTTTCTTTTTTCTTTTTGTTTTAAGGACTTTATCCCTTTTCTTATATATATATATATATATATATATATATATATATTTAACACACAATAAACCATTTAGAAGTTTTCTTCGACTTTGACTCTATCATTACTGTATATCTCCTTTTTTCTGACCACATAGGTCTTTAATTTGCTAGGTGATATAGCTAGGATTAAAGCCGTGGGTTTAACAGCTGGATCCACCCCATTCCTTAGTTCTGGGTGTTTATCGTCATGGCAGAGTTAGTGGTAGGAGCCATGTTTATTGACACAACTCTATGGAGTTTAAAAGTCCCTGACACCACCAAAAAGTATGCTGTCAGCAATTCATAAACACCATGTAAGTGTTTGGTGGCAGGGTCTCTTAAAAGAACGGCAACGTTTCACAGCTAAAGGAGAGATGGCTCAGCACTTAAGAGCATTGACTGCTCTTCCAGAGGACCCAGGTTCAATTCCCAGCACACACATGGCAGCTCACAACTGTCTGAAAAATCCAGTTCTAGGGGATCGGACACCTTCACACCAATGAATATGAAAAATAAAGATAAAATAATTAAAGCTGAGTCAGGAAGCCTCTCTTAAATGAGACATGCTTGCCTCTAGCAAAGAGAGCATACCTAAGAAAGTGCTGGCGTCAATAAGCCATGTTTTACTCTGCTTTTTTTTTTGTTGGTCTAGAATTACTTCCCAAGCTTACTCAGGTTTTCTGTGGATGCAGATGTCCACATTGGTACCATTTGTTGATAGAGATTTCTGTCCCACTCAGACCTACAGCCATTCCATCCCAAAGAAACGCACAGAGGTCTACATTAATCATAAACTTGTTGTTCTAGTAGCTCAGATTTCTTATTAACTCTTATAACTTACATTTGCCCATAATTCTTGCCTATGTTAGTCATGTGGCTTGGCACCTTTCATCAGCAAGGAATTCTCATCTTGCTTTCTCTGCCTCTGACTTCCTTTGTGAGAACTGCAGACTGACTCTTCCCAGAATTCTCCTGTTCTTTTCGCCCTGCCTCTACTTCCTGACTGGTTGCCCTGCCTATTCTCCTGCCTGGCTACTGGCCAATCAGCAATTTATTAAAATACAAATGACAGGATACAGGATCCCACAGCACAGACCAAAAATAATCAAATAGAAACTGTATTTTTACAACACTGTTTGGCCTATTAGCTCATGGTTCTTATTGACTAGCTCTTATATCTTAAATTAACCAATTTCTATTAATCTGTGCATCACCTTGTGATTGTAGTCAACCAGTAAGGTTCTGTCCAGTGGTATCTGTCTTCTGGCTACATGGCTTCTCCCTGACTCAACCTACTTTCCTCCAGCATTCAGTTTAGCATCTGCCTATCTCTATTCTGCCTTGCCACAGGTCCAAGCAGTTTCTTTATTTATTAACCAATAAAAGTAACACTTATACAGAAGGACTTCCCACACCAGCCCTATGCTGTGCACATTGTATTTTCACATTTTCACACTCAAATTCTTAAGATATATGAGCACATTTTTAGGATAGGCTGGAAAAATTTGAACAACGTTAGCATAGGTAGAGTCTATAAAATATCTATCCATTTGGGTTCTCTTTGAATCTTAAACCAGTGATATAGTAACTACTCAGAAAGGCATATGGAGCTGATTACATTGTGATATCCATTCCACTATCACAGGAGAGTTGTGAGAAGCCATGGCCTCTGCTTGTTTGAAGAGGAATGCCCTCAGATTGTCAAGATACTTTCAACTTTTAATATGCAGGATTTTCTGCTTCATGATAGATCCAGACTTGATTAACACCTTCAAATTGTAAAGTAAAATAGAGTCTGAGTAGATTCTCTGTAGGGAGCTGTTTGACTGGTAATTAGAAGTGAGGAATCTTTCTCACTGTTCTGTTACTGTAAAGGATACCATGACCACTGGAACTCTTATAAGAAAATGTTTGATTGGATACTTGTTCATAGTTTCAGAGGTTAGTCCATTATCAACATGGCGGGACATATGGTAGCATATATGGTGCTAAAGAAGTAGCTGAGAGTTATATCCTGATCTGTAGGCCAAAGGTAGGGGAAGAGATGGGTAGAGAGGAAGTGGGGAGAAGGGAAGTGGGAAGGAGAGAGAGATCGGGTCTGGGATAGACTTTGTGGGGGGAAGGAGAGAGAGATCGGGTCTGGGATAGACTTTTAAAATCTCAAAGCCCACCCCTAGTGACATATTTCCTCCAACAAAAATCACACCCCCTAATCTTTGTAATCCTTTCAAAGTGTTCTATTCCCTGGCAACTAAGTCTTCAAAGGTATGAGCCTATAGGGGCTGTTAGTTCGAATGTAATTGGCCCCCATAAGCTCATAAGAAGTAGCAGTATTATGAGGTATGGCTTTGTTGGAATAGGTATGACCTTCTTGGAGGATGTATGTGACTATGGGGTTGGGCTTTGAGGTTGAATGTCCTCAAGATATCGCCCAATATCAGAGTCCCATTTCCTGTTTCCTTCTGATCAATATGTAGCCAGCACCATGTCTTCCTGCAGGGATGTTCTCTGCCTTGATGATAATGGACTAAACCTCTTAAAATGTAAGCTGCCACTTCAAGTAATACTCTCCTTTATAAGAGTTGCTGTGGTTGTAGTGTCTCTTCACAGCAATAGAAACCCAAAGGCAGGGGCCATTATTATTCAAAGTACCACAAGAGGTAACAACAGCTTCCCAGAGGACAAATAAGCAATCTCTGCAAGTCCTGCCCATGATCAGTCTCAGCACCTTTCACTGTAAACAGCAGGATTTACCGCATACATTTCATAACTTCCAGCATCATGATGTCAACATTTAAGGGTCCAAATTACAGCAACAGAAGTAAGATATACTGATCAGTAAAGAACCACAAATGCCATTAAAATGTCAAATTCTGAATTCAAGGGAATGTCAGGATTGCTTTGTGAGGACTGAAGCTGATAGTTTGGCAAGCACTCAGTGGTCGTATGACTAAGATGACAGCTGCCATTAAACCACAAAGGGCTAATCCACACAATCTCAAATTCATCCTGCACTTTCAACTCTTAATATTCTATTAGGCAGTAGGTATATCACAAATCATGAAAATATTTTTCCTGAATAATGAAATATTTAAAATTTATCATTGTAGCTTAATTTAATAATCTCAAGGACCTATGAATCAAGCAGGATGCTATTCTCTAAGACAGCTAAGGTGAACTCAGTTTCTAGGACTTCTTTTGAAAAATGACAGAGTAGGGTAGGGTGTGGTGTCTTAGCTATGACTGTAGTTTCCAGGTCTAGCAAGGTAATGGTCAACATTTTCCTCTCTCTACTTTTCATTGTATTGTTCCTTCCTAACTGCCCAATTGTGCGACTAGTTGGAAGATGGGGCTGATAGTTTTTAAAAATGCTGTATCCAGATTGTGAGAGCAGCATGTGGCCGTCCTCCTGCTGAAACAAATGTGTGCAATGTCACTGACTTCAGCAGGTGGCCTTCAGTGTGACAGGCCAGCTGCATGCTAAACTCTCCTCCCTGGAAATTCGAGCTTTGGGGGCTGGTTTAGTTGCACAGGTAGCAAGATTGGAAGCAGGAGAACAATCCCAGCCAGAAGATGTGGGCATTAGCCAGGGACTATAGCCCAGTGTTGTGCTCATTCTTTGAAATGAAAAACACATGTGCAACCTCCATTATTACTTTAATACAACATGCCACTGAAAATAAAAAAGAATTTATGATGAAAAAGAGCAGAAGTACTAGAATATGCTCCCAACAAGGAACCAAAAAAAAAAATCCCTGTGAAGTGCACTCATTGGGCAACGTCCATAAATCATGATCAGTGTTGTATTTAAACAGTCCTCTTGCTGTCCACTACCAGTTCGACATGGCAGTTTCATGTTCCAGTTCATTTTTCAGCATCCTTTCAGTTTCGCAGGGTGTTTATCTCTAAAGGCTCTAGATTGACAAACAGAAATTAGCTGCCACTCCCCAGGAAGGCTGCTATACATTCTCATTAGTGTTCTGGCTGTTAGCGCAGTTAACTCCTCACTCACTATAAACAACTCCAACATGCAAGAAGCTCATCCATCAGGCCTCTGCATTTATGTCAAAGGAAAGGTGGACACATCCTCATATACTGCATCAGCTTCTTTGTCCCATATGAACCTTTGTTTGAAGCAAAGCAAATTTGGCTTGACTTAACTGTTCATTGTCTGCAGTCAAAGGAATAGATGCATGCAGTGTAGAGGGCAGAAAAGAGTTTCTAAGGAAAAGTTTTATCTTTGACTATTATTTTCTCTTCTATAGATAGTTCACAGGGTGGTCCTCAGATTTGTGTCTTGGAATAATAGTATTTATCTTGTGACTAGGGACAAAAATTTGAGATTGGCATTAGAAGCTTAACTGAAATAAAATTTTCTCCAGCCCTTCTCTGTTCATAAACAAAGCAAGAATCAACTAATTACAGTCAGAGGTCATTGTGTTGGCCTGAGGGTGACTGTGAATGTTTAGGACGTATGGCTTAAGAATCACAGAAACGCTGTTCATCCAGGCACTTGAGAGGCAGAGACAGATCTCTGTGAGTTGAAGGCCAGCCTAGTCTACATAATGAGTTCCAGAACAGCCAAACTGTATATAGAGACCCAGTATTAAAGAAACAAACACATAACAACAACAAAAAGAATCTAGGAAATTCTAATTCTTCAAAAAGAAAGCATGGAACAATGTTTTATAGAAGAGTTATATGACCAAGCACAAACTGTGTCTATGTTAGTAATTACTTTCTCACTATTCCGTCTTCTTTTCACTGTGTCCTAAACTATAACTTTACAGAAGACTGTTTCTGTGTTTATTCCTCACACATAAGGTTCTAACTGAGCTACTAACCATCATTCCAAGGGACAATCTCCAGGAACCTATTTTCCCATCTGATTCTTCCTCCAGAGGTATTCCTAAAAAAAAAAAAGAAAGAAAGAAAGAAAGAAAGAAAGAAAGAAAGAAAAAAGAAAAAAAATGTCTAAAGTAATGTCCCACAAAAACTGATCAAAGTTTAAAGATCCTAGACTAACTTCCATAGGCACAGTACCCAGCAACAAAGATGCCCAATAAATAATACATTTTAATGTAATGTAATTATCAAGCATATAGGACATATTTCTAATTATCATTGTATAGGGACTGATGAAGGTGAACTGCACGTGGAAATATGTGCATGGTACAAAAGATGTTTAGAAGGGAGTAGAGGAACCGATGTCATGGAGAGCAATGCAAATTAGACATCTAGAGGTGAGCAAGCCAAACAGTACAGAGAAGGGAAGAGTCAAGGAAAGAATCAGAGACACAGGCACAGGGCGTGGATTCCTAATGTCGGCCGAGAGTCATGTTTATAAAGCCTTCACTAAAGTTCTTCCATAAGGAAGGGTGGTAGTGAAAAAATTTCCTTAACTCTAAAGCTTTCTTATCTTTTCCAGCTTCAAGGAGATGTTCAAATGTGGCAAAACCAAAACACCCAGAGAAAAAGCATGTGCCGAGGTGATCAAGCAAGAATATGAAAAACTTGGGCCAATTAAGTAAGATGTGCGCATGAGTGTACACACACACACACACACACACACACACACACACACACACACACACCACATGTGTGGGAACCAGCACAAGTAGTTAATGTAAAGATATATATATTTATCATGTACTTGCCAGCAAGGAAGTCCTAAGTCTTGACTAAGACCACAAACCTACGAAGCTCCATGACTTTAAGTTACTAAGTCCACTAAAATGAAATCCATACCACTGCCCAATTAAAATTTGCTAGATAGAAAAAAACAAAAACAAAATTCAGAGAAGCTGAGGAGAAAGGGCCTTTTCTAAGAGCCCCGGCACTCTCCAAATAAGAGTACATGATGTTCCCACAGCGGCCATCAGCCTCACAACAACTTAGAGTTCTCACAAATGTTGACAGCAGCGTGTTTTCTACAGGTACCAAGAAATCGTGACCTTGATAATCTTCGTCGTGATGGCCTTGCTATGGTTCAGTCGAGATCCTGGTTTTGTTACTGGCTGGTCGGCCCTGTTTTCAGAGTAAGTATTCACGTGTCAGCCCTTCCTGTTCGGTGCTGTGTCGCTGCTAACTAACTGTTGGAAAACTGCAATGAGGTGCTTTGGTCATTTCTTTGGGCAAAAAAAAAATATTTTTATGCCTAATCACCTGTGGTGAGGTGTTAAGTATCAGGTAAGAAAGCAAAAAGGATAGCCATTATACTCTGTATAAAAGTTAGGGTGCATTAGACATGCAGCTACTACCTCAGGACCAAGTTAGACATTTGAGCTGCATTTGACCAGGATCTAGGCTGGTAGCAGAGTTGCGAGAGCTGTACCACCCGACTTTCCTCGGGAACCTTCTATTTATTCTGGACAAATCACTTCACGCTCCCACTTCCTCAACCCGGAAGATGGAAATTACAGTAGTGCAGAGAATACTGCTATTTTTTTTTTCTTTTCTAGTAAAAGTGCTAAATAGATATTGTGTGAAACAAATGCTACACAGTGTGTTCTCTCTCGGTCTATTTTTTACCAATACACTCTGGTTCTTACATCTAGAGGGGTTTCATCTTGCGCTTCCGGTCTCACATCCCCAGCAAGAACCCACATAGTTTGCGAGCACAGATTGAAATTGTTTGAGTCAGACGTAATTTGGCTTGATGGAAGTGAGAGAAAAACACCACCTTCCCTCAGCCCGACTTTTCTGTTTCCACAGGCATTACCAATATTTTTTTTTAAGACCCAAAGGATGAATGCAGATGTCTTATGACCACCTTGCCTCAAGCAGTTCATGAGACAGGGTAGTTTAAAAGATCAGCTTGATGTTCTTGACTTCTTTAGACAAACAACTTCTCATTTTTAAGAAGGCCAAATTAAAAGCATCACCTATTTATTTAAAACAAGCTATTGTTTAATAGAAGATTAGTACTCTGTATTTTTACATTTTTACATCCTATTTTATAATAGGATGCAGAGCAAAATAAATAAATAACTCCAGCTCCCTTTAAAATCAGCATCAACTATTATAAAGTTTCTCGCTCTTTCTCTCTCTGTAATGTACTGAGAACTAGATGGAATAATAGCAAATAACAGTAAATAAAACCTAGGAGAAAGTAGCCTATTCAGTACAATCAGATCTAATTTTTCTTCCTTATAGCGGAAAACATAATTTAGGTGATGCTTTTTGTTTGTGGCAGGAATACGGTGTGTGCTGTGAGCAGGAGCTTCTCCTCTCACCTAAGCTTGTGAGAGACAGCAGTAGGCAAGGCAATAGGACTTGAAAGAAGACAAAGCTTGGCAGTCGAAATAAAACAAGCACGAGGCAAATAAAATCTGTATAGGCTTAATTCTTGATAGTGTTGAGATAACTCAGTTCCTACTGAACCAAAATTCAAAGTAATAATGAAAAATTATATTTAGAAATGTTTTATGACAATGCTTGTCAACATTTATACCTTAATTTGTCTAAAGTATGTATTCTGTAAAATGCGTGCACTGTGTGCAGGTTTTAGGCAGCAACAATTTCTAAAGCTGGTATGATATATTAAGATTTATTGCTACCACCCAATGTTTTCCTTCCATCTGCTTGAATCTGGACTGATTTCAATATGTCTTTTCATATAAAACAAAATCCAGTTACATGACACCTGGCTCAGTTTGGCCAAAGCTTAGCCAAAAATTATAACTAAAATAGAATAATAAAGAGACAATATATTTATAAGGATTGGTCAGGTTTGTAGAAAATTATGCCACCCTAGTCTTTCTGTCAACAAGGAAAGAAAGTCAGCCTGCATTTAAGATGCATTTTTTTAAAAAAATATATCAAATTGAGAACAATAATGCACTTCCTTGATTGTTTAGATTTTTCACATAAACTGCAAAAGTATAGACTCTTGTAAAAAAAAAAAAAGTCGATTGAGATGTAAGCTAGAAAACCAAGCCTGATGATGTTCGTGTTTCTTCAATTGCAAAAGTACACGTAGTTGATACTGCTGACTACTAAGGCTGTATTCTAATTGTCTGTGTCTGTTTCATTTGTATAATGTCCAGGTGCCTCTTAACTGTGGAGGCTTCCGGGAACCTGTCTTTTTGCTAGAATGGTCTGGCAATTCTTAGCCCCATCTGTTCCCAAATTATTCCTAATTTGTACAGGGATCATTTGTGAGCATCTCGTAAGTCATTCTGGTCATTAATCTTCTTAAGTTTCTAGAGGGCAAAGCGTCAAATGGGTTGATTTCTTTTGTATGTAGGTTTAGTATCTACTGTAGAAGCAGGTGTTTCATCCTAAAAACCAGATCAATTTGCTTTCACAGTTTATAGAGGAGTTTGACGGCACACTAGCAACAGCATGTCTCACTAAATTCAATAGAGTGACATTATAAATCAATTACATGGGTCTTTGCCAAACTCCAGCAATTGTTTAAACCTCAATTCTCTGACATTATAATAAAAAACAATATTTCAAAGAAGAAATTGCTTAAAAAATCTGTAAGTTTACCCGAAAATTTTGTTCTGTTGGTCTGATAAGGTATCATCTGTTTATTCAGTATTGGCAATATGGGAATGTATTGAATTATTAGGAATGCATTCTGAAATGACTGGTCCTTATAAGTCACATCACTTCATTGGGAAACTATGTTTTAGAACAGACTGTGTAGATTAAATGAACTATATTTATTATCATTTCGATTTAAGTGTTATTAACATAATTCATTGATATCTTATCTCATAAAGTCCTTCATACCATTTTAATGAACACATTTGTTCATATTTTTCAGGCACTCTGGTTATGTTACAGATTCAACTGTTGCGCTAGTTGCCGGAATACTTTTCTTTCTAATTCCAGCTAAGAAATTGACAAAAACTACATCTTCAGGAGAAATTGGTTGAGTAACATTTTTTTTTCAAAGAAAAAGGCTATGTGTTCTCATTTTACATACCAATTACAGCTCCCACTCCTTCCCCTCCTCCCATTCTCTCCACATACTCCCCTACCCCACCCCTATCTACACTTCAGAGAGGGTAAGGCACATTGTTTGGGGAAGGTCCAAGGCCCTCATTATTATATCCAGGATGAGCAAGGTATCCATCCAAAAAGAATAGGTTCCAAAAATGCCAGTACAAACAGTAGGGATAAATCCTGGTGCCACTGCCAGTAGTCCCGCAGTCTGCCCCAGCCATGCAACTGTCACTCACATTCAAAGGGTCTAGTCTGTTCCTATGCTGGTTCTTTCCCTATCTGGCCAGAGTTGGTGAGCTCCTATTAGCTCAGGTAAACTGTTTAAGTGGGTATCCCCATCACCTCTTTGCTCATATTCTCACTCACTCTTCAACTGGACTTTGGGAGCTCAGCCCAGTGTTCCACTGCTGGTCTCTGCCTGCTTCCATCAGTTGCTGGATAAAGGTTCTATGGTGACATTTAAGATATTCATCAATCTGACTGCAAGGCAAGGCCAGTTTAGGCACTCTCTCCACTATTGCTTAGGGTCTTAACTGGGGTCATCCTTGTGGATTCCTGGGAATTTCTCTAGTGCCATGCTACTTACTAGCCCTATAATGACTCCCTCAATCAAAATATCTCTTTCCTTGCTCTCATCTCTGTCCTTCCTCCATCTCGACTATCCTGTTCCCTCAAGTTATCTTCCCCCTTCCCTTCTTCCCTCATCTTCCTTTTCTGCCCTCCCTACTCCTCTCACCCCCATGCTCTATTGCTGGTGGAAATGCATCCACTTTAGAAATCAGTATGGTGGTTTCTCAGAAAATTGGAAATCAACCTACCTCAGGATCCAGCAATTCCACTCTTGAGCATATGCTCAAAAGATGCTCAATCATACTACAAGGGCATTTGTTCAACTGTGTTTATAGCAGCATTATTTGTAATAGCCAGAACACTAGATGCCCTTCAACCAAAGAATGGGTACAGAAAACGTGGCACATTCATACATTAGAGTATTACTCAGCAGTAAAAAAACAACGACATCTTGAAATTTGCAAATGGATAGAACTAGAAAAAAAAACATCCTGAGTGAGGTAACCCTGACCCAGAAAGATGAAGATGGTATGTACTCACTCATAAGAGAATACTAGATATAAACAAAGGATATTGAGCCTATAGTTCATGATCTTAGAGAAGCTAAGTGACAAGGTTAACCTTAAGAAAAAACATACATATCCACCAGGAAAGGGGAACTAGATGAGTATCATTTCTAACAGTAAATTTATAGAACATCTTTTGAAGAAATTAAAAGTCCATAAGCTTCCTTTAGCACATAGAATATTTAAAATGGCTATTGTTAGTATAACCTCTATCTTAGCTTATCCCATTTACACCCTGAACCCCCTATTCAGTTAACATTTATCTCCACCAACAGGAGTTTGCAGAAATGAAAGTCTATTTCCTTTTATACCCAGGTTCCAGCTCTTCTTAAGGCATATCACCTCCCCTGCCAAAATCAGAATATTGACTAACAAGGAATGATTGATCAGACCTCAGTAATAATTTTGAGAACCTAGAGAAGGACAAGCTTCATGAGAAAGATTATTTATAGTTCCACAGAAAGTCCTTGAAGAAAAGAAAACAAGCCCCTTATAGGAATAGCCTGAGTGCACAACTGGAAAAGGTGCTGAGTAAAAACACTCACGGTATTTACAACCCATGGTCAGAGAAGTGCACCCATCTGCAGGAGCATGCATTCTTCTACATGCACTTCTTACACATGATTCGCTCCTGCCTGTGCTTTATGTTAACATCAGTTTTCAGGCGCTATATTTTTACGTGCATACATAGGGCAAATGGGTTATTATAGTTTGGAGGCACGGTTTCATGTTGACTGCTGATGTGAGTAGCCTAATGACAGAACAATATTAAGAAGTCTTATTTGCCTTACAATCTTGGGACAGTCCATCATTGGGTAGATATCAAGGCAGGAACTTCAGTTATATCACATCCACAAACAAGAGCAAAAAAACCCAAATACTTTCATGATTTTGAAGCCTCCTCTAGTCTTAAAAAATCCAGGTGTCATCTCATGAAATAATATAACCCACAGTTGACTGGGATCTCCCACATCAATGGACAGTTAAGACAGTCCCTCGCAGACATACCCAAAGGCCAAGCCAATCAAGATAGTTCTTCATTGAGTCTCTCTTCTCACCTGATTGTAGGTCATGCTCATTTGACAAAGTTCAATGCACCGTCCTACAGTAAGAGTAGAAAGATGAGACCATGAAAGAACGGCATTACTAATGACAACATCATAATGATTTATCTAAATGTAATTCAAATATTATCAGAAGGATTTGTCAAAATACTTTCTCAAAGTTTCTTAAAGTATTTTTTCTGTGTCTGAGAATTCCCTTGCACATGTATATTTGCACTGTTTGGATCCATGTAGAGACTGGAAAAGAGTGTCAGATTGGAGAAGGAGTTACAGACAGTTGTGAGCCACCATGTAGGTGCTAGGAATTGGACCCATGTCCCCTGGAAGAGCAGCCAGTGGACATAACTTCTGAGCCATCTCTCCACCTCCAAAGTTATAACATTTTTTGTCAGTATAATATAATATTCCACTTAAGGTCAGTGCAAACTCAAAGTCGAGGCCAAATCTCTGCCTGGAAAACAATATCATGATACTATAAGTTTCTTGTAACATGACTATTCAGGAGACTGCTAAAATTATTGTATATTCTTGTGTTCGACAATATTTAACTGTAGGGTTTTTGTTTTGCAGTTGCTTTTGATTTCTCTCCCCTGATTACTTGGAAAGAATTCCAGTCATTCATGCCGTGGGACATAGCCATTCTTGTTGGTGGCGGCTTTGCCCTGGCAGATGGCTGTCAGGTAATGCTCAGTGTGTACGATATTTAACAATAAAGTAGGCGGTTGAAAAGAAGAACACAAACACATTCAAGCTTTGGGCATAATCACCTTTATTCTCTCATTTTAATAATGCAGAATTCAATAGTCATGCAGTATCCCACACAGATGAGGTGAGTTCATAGTTCAAGAACTTTTACAGGCTGTAAGCATAAACAATAATGTCACAATGTCTCAGAATCTCAAGGAAAATAATGCAAAAAAAGATTAAAATACTTAATCCATGATATTATATTTGAAGAGTAGCTTAGTAGGAGAAAAACTTAGATTCAAAAAACGAACGTGGTTTCTAATTGGACATGTTTATTTGTTTGCTTGCTTATATTTTTATATCATTTCATATAGAGTTTGTGTAATTTTGGGGTTTCAAGTCAATGACCCATCATTCTATCATTGTCAAATAAGGAGATGAAAAATAATGCCATAAGTAAATTTATCTTGTGAAAAAAATCCAGAATATTTAATGTGGCAATTTCTGATATATAATGTCCACTGTCAGGAGCAAATGAAAACATCATGAGTTACACAGATGGCCATTTCATTGATCTGTCCACCAGCTGACACAAAGCAAGCTCTTATCCCTTCTAATTGCCCTGGTCATTGTAAGTCTCCTAGAAGAAAATTATCTTCTCTAAAATTTTTGGGCATATGTATATATAAACAACATCAAATGTACACAGTAGGTTGTATATATATATATATTATATATTCAGAACAATAATATACCTGAATAATATGTATTATATAGTGTATATATAATATATAATGGAAGAAGAGACCATGCATTTACCAGGGAAGACATGGGAGAAGATTAGGAGGGAAGCTTGAGAGTGGTATAGATACAGTGTCAATGTATGAAATTCTCAATTTTTTTTGAAAAAGCAAAGAATGTATCTGTCTACATACCAGTCACTCAGGGAGTTCATAGCCTTCTATTGATTACTCAGGACTGATTTGCATTTATTTCCATACTCACTCACAAGCAGGAGGATGGCAAGGGAAGAACCATGACAAGTTTCTTGACTTCTTAGAAGTCATATATTTATTTATTTCAATTCACAGTACAAATTGCTATCGTTTCTTGTTGATAATTTGTGAGGAGGATATTGTTTACATCTAACTTTCTTACTAGTGTCTCTGTATCATGTTTTGATTTGGACCTTTCCAGCAATAAGAGTTAGTAATTACTGTAAGTCTTAGAAACCGTCTCAACTCAGAGAGCCTTTTGCCAAATTGCTTTAGGCTTAGGTTTGCCCAGATACAAATGGTAGAAGTATAAGACAATAACAATTTTCTTTTCTACTATTTCAGCAGTAATGAGATCTGCATTCTCAGAATAATAACTGCCATCTCTATGTCTGCTGATTTGAACTGTGAGGAAAGCAGGATCAGAAAGTCTGGCATTCATAAGAATGTTCCTCTTCTCTGCTCAGAATATGTCTAAACTGGACTCTAGACACCCAAAGTGGCTTTGAAAGCATCGACCAGACCCTAGAACAGCAAAATCTGAGGAAATGAAAAGGTGTGGATTTAGTCTCATGCACATGGCTCTCTCAGTGGAAGAATTAGGGAAATCACGGAGGGAGGATTAATTCATTATAAAGATCCTAGTACCTGGAATCTGTATTGTGCAAGAATTTCCAGAAAAACTACTCCTGAGTAACCAAACTAAAGTCAAAAGCTTCTCACAAAAAAAGTCCGTACAAAATTGTGACCCTAAAAAATTGGTTTTACAAAATATTAGGAAACAACTTGAAAAACTTTTGTTCAAAGTTAAAATTTGTCTGACAAGTGTCTCAAGCCACGAAATATTTCTACTTGAAAAAATAACCAAAAAATAAAAAAGAACCATGAGGTAGCAATTATGTGCTATTTACCTCATGCTGTGACCTCTCTCTTAAACACCCCTGATTTGCTTTAAGATGATGAGTGTCTCACAAAGTGATAGACACTGCCCAACTCTTTCCCGTGAATAATTTCTCTTTGTTGTTGGTTTTTTACACATTACTCAAATGCTTTTTCTAAGATAACTGTGAGAGATTAAATACCGTTTTCTCAACTATTCCTAAGTTCCCAAGAACATAATAAATAATGACAAAAAGTACTAACAGTCTTTAAAGATAAAAACTGTATAACACAGTCGATAACACACCAAAGATGTTCAAAAGCATGCAAGATAGTGGGAGGATGTTGTATGAGTAAATGGCTTTGTGAAAATAGTTGAACTATGTAGGTCAGAAAATGGAAGGGTCCTCAAGAAATTAGATGATTTTATATTAAGATCCTGAAAGGGAAAAAGAATTGGAAGTAACAAATAATATTGTAAGCATGGAAGAAGCCAGGTCTGGATATTAAGATGGTTTTTAAAGCTTCCAAGGTTATGCAATTTCTGCAACTACTATCCCCATTCGTGAGGGGCCACACAGTCTTTAGGAAATTGTTTTATTTTGTAGCAAAGTTGAAGCATGGTATCCATCAATAATCTTTGCTTGTCATCAAGAGCTTTAAATCACCAATTAATAGTCTCTTCAAATAAAAATGAATAGATAGTCAAGAGCCAACAGTTAGTTAGGAGAAGCCTCATTTACAATAACCAAAGAAAGAAAAATAAAATGAAATAAGGAAACAAAAAGAAATAGAACAAGGAAAAAGTGAAGAGAATGAACAAAGCAGTAAATTCTTTAAATTTTATCATTGGTGCCTCAAAGGGAAGTCAGAAAGATACGGAAAGTAAAAGAAATACTGTTTAAAAAATAATCATAAAGTAATTATCTCAAATTTAGAATTATGATATCAACTTTATATTTAAAAGTCAGCAACATTCTTTAAAGATAAAATCTAACATATGTCAGAAATACAACAAAAGGCTAAAAGACCGTAAACACTAAAAAGATTTGATTGTCTGGAACCAAATGGTCAGCCCTCAACATATACACATAAGCAACATTAACACTCTCAGTAGCTTGAATGTGTGTATATATCTATGTGTGTACATATATATGCATTCATGTATGTGAGTCTGTATTTGTGTGTGTATAACAATAAAGAAAAGGGGGCATGAATTTGAGAGGGAAGGGGGCATTAGAAAAATTGCAGAGAGAAGAGAGGAGAAAATGATGCAACTATAATAAAAAAATATAGTAAAATTGTGAAAAGATAAGAAAACTAGAGCATTGGTCTACAAACTCCTCAAGAGTCTGTTTAGAAAGAGAAAACGAGTAGAAAGGAAGGAGGTCTCTATTAATAGCACCAGGAATGTTTCAGAAATAAAGCCTCTGAGTTTCTTGGCTAAGAGAACTATGAAAATATTCATGCTGGGGGGATTCATGTAGAGTCTACGTTGTAGATCTCATAATCTTGAGGTAGAGCTAGAATCATAATGGACGCCCGAACGAATCACAAACACTTGCTGCGTTCCTCTCACATCTCAATCAGAATGAGGTAAAATACATCTTCACTCACTTTCTAGGAATCTATGTCCTTGTGCTTTAGTTTTTATACTTCTAACTGTTACTCTCAGTATTCATACCCTTATATGTATAAATCCATAAAGCTAATATCCGTTCTCATAATGGCTCATTGGATAAAATGCTTCCTCTACAAGCTTGGGAAACAGTGTTCAAATACCCAGGAACTCATGTAAATGGTAGGTGGCTGTGGTGGCCCTCTGTAATTCCAGCGCAAGCTAAATAGATATATTGGCCTTATCAGTGGACTCTGGATTCAGTTTAGAGTACCCACCTCCACATATACCATGAAGAGCAATCAAGATCCTTGACATCAATCACAGGCTTACACATACACATACACACACGCACGCTCAGACATGTGCTCGCATACTTATAAACAAATGCAACACAAACATGCACTTGCACATAACATGATAAAATACAAATAAAATAGTTAATTCTGTATATGAATCAAAACAACAAACAATAAAACTGATATCTAGCACCCATGTCTGTGATGCTAGTATTTACTTTGGAATTGAATTTATTGCTTATAATCAAAGTGTTTTCCTGATGCATAGCCTAGACTTTCATAGGTATAATATCACAAAAGGTAGACTTTTCCTTCTATTTATAGGAGAAATCAGAATAATAAGTCTATTAATCCGAATGCAGGCAATATTTTTGACTGCATGAAATGAAACAAAGATCAATATTCAATCAATTTAAAGAACCCCACAGAAAGACACAGAAAATAAATTGATAGCTTAACATTGCTGAGCAATTTTGATTATTTCAAAACTAGAATTCCCAAAATCAGAACTAGAAAAAAATAGTGTTGAAAGAAATAAAATAATTTTCAGACCTATAAATACTCTGCAAATGTACTTTCTGTACTACTGTGGCTCAGCACATTTGAAAGGATGTGTTGTTCCTCCAAATGAGTGGAATGAAGGAGAGGTTCCCACAAAGCAGAGTGGTGAGAGAAGATGGGAACTTAAGTAGGTGAAAATGAATCTAGTCCAGATGGAGCAGGAAAAAGGTCTATTCCAGGACAGATATCTTGAGGGAACATGAACAAATCAAACCCACTTATTCACGTGTTTGTTTGCTTGTCAGTTAGGTCTCCAGATAGTTGGAAGATCATGATGAATTAGTGATAGGTTCTTAGAAAGCTAGGCAATTGGAATAATGTTTTCTTTGGAAAACAAAGTAAATATAATCTTAGATGGTTAAATGGCTCATCAATGAACAATATTTATATAATGATAACATTAAACTTTAAATATCGGTTTAATCAAAGTATAGCAATGTTCTGAGGAATTAAGGGGCAGAAAACATGTGTATGATGAATGGTATAAGATGACACAATCCTCAGGCAACATATTAGGAAATCAATAAATAATGTTTCCAGTTGAAATTTTAAGAAAAAGTTTAATTAGAATGTTATTTTGAAAGATACCTATACTAATTCTAAATATCAGTGTAAATAGCTAAGAACAGTTGACAATTCTTCTCTCTGGGGCATACAGCTCAGGAGAAGGGGAAGGAGCCTCAAGGCTTCCCTTTTCTTAAAGCTCTATGGTCCTCCATGACTGATCAAGACATTTAGATATTTAGATTACATAAAATTAATGCTTAATAGAGGAAAGCATAGAGAGAGAATTTAAACTTCTTAAAGCATGACTATGGTATTGAAATAATTCTGAAAACTTGTTCATATCAAACTTATCTATATTTATCAAAACACAAGAATATGGGGAATGATATTTCAGAAACAAACTCAGTAAATACTGTGTGTGTGTGTGTGTGTGTGTGTGTATGTGAATGGTGTGATTAAATTGTGCTTCATTAAAATGAATTATGTGAAGTGGGATAGTTGTGAGACTCATTGGACTGAGATCAGTGTCTGTCTATAACACTTTGCCTGGATTTTGGGAACCTATTCCTCATACTGGGTTGCCTCTCCCAGCATCAATGAAAAGTAAAGAGCTTAGTCCTACCTCATCTTGTTATGCCATGCTTTGTGGATACCTAAGAGTGACTTGCCCCTTGCTGAACAGAAACAGAGGAGGAGTAGATGGGTAGGGGTAGAGGGGAGGCAGAAGAAGGAGACAGAAGGAGCGGAAGGAGGGAAACTGTGGTCGGGATGTAAAATTAATGGAAAAAATAATTAATAAAAATTAATTATGTGAATAATAAATACTGAAAATTTGTTTTTTAGGCATCAGGACTATCTTCCTGGATAGGAAGTAAATTATCTCCTTTAGGTTCATTACCAATTTGGCTAATAATTCTGATATCTTCTTTGATTGTCACGAGTTTGACAGAGGTAGCCAGCAATCCAGCTACCATCACCATTCTTTTCCCAATATTATCTCCTTTGGTGAGTATTACATTTATATTGTTTTCATCTAGAGTAGGTTTTCTTGTTGTATTGACTGTGAGTTTTCATCCTGTGCTGTAGTTTCTTTTGGCCCAAATGAACCTTCTGTAAGCGACCTATATAGTCTTTATCTGCACTAGGTGACGTTTACTCAAGGGAACTATGTTTCCCATCCAAGGAGGATAATCTTTAGTAAATAATTTACATTTTCTCTGCACAGGGTTTTGTTTTGTTCTGTTTTCATTTGCAAATATATGAAACTATTCTGGATCCAACGCAGCCACAATATGATTCAATAGTTCCAGCCACTTTGAAATATAACCTTTCAGAACAGTTTCTCCAAGTTTCTGAGAAGTTCTTCCTATAAATGATGTACAGACAAATGAGAAGATAGTCTTAACCTTCAGGCCTAAATTTCTTAGACAGTTCTCAAGACAATGGGCTAAAAGGGGGAGGAAGACCCCTTTTCCACGTTCCATAGCAGGCACATGAGATAACTTTGTGTGAAATGTTTTTCTGATTCAGGTGGGTGATTTAGGTGAAAAGTAAACACTTTAAATTAAGAACTGATTTAAAGAAACAACAAGGATCATCTTTCTGAAAATGTTTCCTAGCCACTCCACATAATTATTTGCTCATATACTTGAGTTGCTACTAAAAAAGAAAATATAGATTGTTTATCAATTGCTTATTGGCCAGAAATCACAAGCAACATGTCATTTCAGCTTTCCGCTTTCTGGTTTTATTTAATGAAATAAACCATTAGAAAATTATGCGATGAATTCCAGATAATAACCATTCTCCCTAAGAAATGATCACTAAGGAGTTTTAAGTTTCTCACAGAAGTGATTGAGTAAATAGTACACTGAAAATCTCCAGAGCCACAGGCACCCAGGCCTTTTTAAGACTCTCTTGGTTGTTAGCTGTATGCTTGACAATTTCTTTGGTGTCTCTGACCTCAATGACATCATGTATTATTTTGAACTATATTAGCCATCTTATACTTTTCTAAAATGTTTAAGAATATACAAAGATACTACTATATAGTATATTATGTGTATGTATGTAACACTATTACATAATACATATATTTTGTTTTATGAAGTTTCTGAGTTAAGTGATACTTTACTTTCTAAATAAATTATAATATAAAGGTCTAAATACATAGCAATAACAATAAAAATAAGAGACACTTTAAAATACTCTGAAAAGTTTTAAATTATGCATTATTTTCTACTTTTAGGTTTCAAGTCGCGTCTGGGAAAGTAATTCACAGCAACTTTGTTCATTTTCACGTTTGGTGTTCACCCTCAGTATTTTAATTCAGCTCTCCTTTGGCTTTTCCCACAGGCTGAAGCCATTCATGTGAACCCCCTTCATATTTTACTGCCTTCCACACTCTGTACATCATTTGCATTCCTTCTGCCCGTTGCAAATCCACCCAATGCTATTGTTTTTTCATATGGCCACTTGAAAGTCATTGACATGGTAAGTTAGCAGCTAAAAGAACATAATGTCACCCAATAGATCCCTCTACTGATGGGCCGGGTACGTGTTACCCTTGCACTCTAATCAACCCTGATAAGATCAGAGTCTGAAGTCTGTTTCTAAAATGGTGGGCACGAATGATCATAGAAATATTTTCAAGAAGTGGACATGCCATTAGAGGTTATGGTCGCAAATAGAGATGTGGAATGCAAGAGCATTGGTCTGGGGAAAAGGAGAAGAGTACGGAATTTCTTAACATGACTCTGTAAACTTACGCCAAGATTAGAATACATAGAATACAACCTAAGGCAAAAAAAGAAACAGGAACACTACTGTTCTGTATCACAAATGTTTATGCAACGTTTGGTCTGATGAAGACATTGCTCAACACCTGAGGAAAAGTACCTTTCTTGGAGATCTTGTCAATCTCTTTCTGGAGGATCTCTGTGAGAAACAAAGGAAAATTTAAGTGGTAGAACACACATTTTGTTTCCAAATCCAAAAATAGTGGTAGCTGAGAACCAGTTTGAGAATGCTCCAGTCTTAACCCAATCTCCATCACCAGTTTCCAACTCAACCCAAAGGAGAATGTAGTCAAAATCAATTTTGTGTGTTTGTTCCATCTGTGGAGTTACAAGGTGAGTTCCTGTTCCTTTCTCCCACCCTAATGCTGTCCCTGAACAGCATTAGAGTGAAATAAAACCTCTGGAAATATTTCTATACTCAAGGCATATAACATCTTGTTGCAAAATAGAATATGTTGTTTAACATAAAATATCACAAACATGTACGTGTTTGAACATAAAAAAATTATGGAATGAATGAGTAGATTTTATGGGCGGAGAAAAATATATCCAAAGTAATCGTGCTAAATATTTCCCTTTTGCTTTGGAAGCCATGTTTTAATGCAGAGAATTCAGGAGTCGGCAAACAGTCCCCGTGAGGGACCAACCATAGCTACTTTAGGCTTTACAGGCCATAGAGTTTCTGTCACAATTACCCTCCTCCACTATTGTATCATATAACCAGTCAAAGATATTCTATAAGCAAATGAGCAACGATATGGTCTAGGGAGAAATCAAATGGTGGTAACAAAAAACAATTTAAGAGCAGCAGTTGACAATCTCTAATATGTAAAAGACTATTTTGAGATCGTTCAAGGGACACACTAGAATTCCTATGTAAGAGTTTCAAAAAACAGCAACACTAAGAAAGAGGAATAGAAGCGGCATTACAAAATTTCAATTAAAAAATACTCTCCTGGGAAACCTGTAATGCTAAGTGATCCTGAAGAATACAGTTATCACATGGCCTTCCTGAAAACTATTCTTTCATAAATAAGATCATCATCAATCACCATTATAATTTAACATACAAAGGCAGATTGACTGACATACATTCCAAAGAGAAGCCTCTCCGGTGCTGTCAAAATGACAGTTAGGGACAGATTCTCATTTGATATGAAAGGGAGAATATCTCCAGTTGATGACATTCACGACTTGTATGGGTCATTAAGAGTGCATGTAAATCAGGTTTATGATTGTGTGATACAATGCTGAAGTCGCTGTGGAATTTTTTTCACCGGGAGACTAACATGTGTGCATTTTTCCTGTTCTAGGTTAAAGCTGGACTTGGAGTAAATATTTTGGGTGTTGCTGTGGTGATGCTGGGCATGTTCACCTGGATCGAATCTATGTTTAACCTCCATGAGTACCCTGCCTGGGCTCCTGACTTTGTTAATAAGACCATGCCATGACAAGCACAAAATTGCTACCGACTTTATTGTGACTTTGGGACTTGCTAAGAATTCATTGTAAGATGTAACTGTATATTATTGACACATATCAATCAATGATATAGTCACTGCAGTCCTAGTACATGCCTCACACTTGCTATCATAGAGTCTATATGTCTTTTGAAGTACCACCAAAGAGCAGCAACACACCTACATCCAGAAACCTATGGTTGAAATTGCGTTGGATGACCATCTACACACTCTTTCTCCGTAAAAGTGATGCTAATGACCTTCAAAGAAGTTAGGCCATTTGCCACATCTTGAACTTTGAGTTAAGTGTAACATTTCAAACATTAATTTATTACTTGAAAATCTTCTTATGAAATTAAAAGTAGAAAATAAAGTATAAAAGTAAATGTGATACTTGAATAAATCATGTCTATAATGTTTTTCAAGGGAATTTGCTAAAGAATCAAGCCACGGTCATTGGTGTAATAAAAGTAAAATGTGTATTTATTTATTTATTGAAAAGTCCAGCTGCATTATTACTAAGGTATAGACAAAACAAATTGAAATTAAAATAGTTATAAATTCCAAAGTCCATGAATTCATTTGACAGTAGAAAATTTATAATGATTAATTCTATGTGTCCATATAAACAGGTTATCATTTTACGCGTCTGTGAATTCTGTGCTGAGCACTGCATTTTGAGGAGTTATGAATAAATGAGTTGTGATTTGCAGTATTTTACAGTACAGTTAGAAAAGCTGTGCATTAAAGCTATTAACACATCTATGCGATGTGTGACGTCTGCATCTGCATCTGTCACCACAGAATCATGGGATTTAGATTCTCTCCTGCTTAGTCTCACAGAGGAAAAGCCTAAAAAATAGCCCCCAGTTCCACCAATCCTGGCTTGACCCAAAGACTACAAATTTTGAAGAACATAACCAGAAATAGAGTAATTTCTCTCTAGTACTCTGATAATTTTGCGTAACTTACTTTGTAGGGCCCTGTAACCACTGTTGTTATAGATGCAAACTCTTCACTTGGCTTAGCAGATGTCCAGTAGGTGACCATTGCAGGGTAAAAGCGTTTAAAATCCCTTCTTGGGATTGTTTCTGTCACTTTATTTTAATTAATTTTATTTTTATTTTAAAAAGTGTTTGTTTTAGAAAACAATATATGAAAAATGAGTTGTAAACTAAAAATATTACTATATAAAGAAGTCAGTAACATAATCCTGTTGTATCAATATTGAAATGGGATAGAAGTAAAATACAGAATAAAAATTAAAAAGATGTACTTGACAAAAAAGAAAAACTACTTATGATTATTGGAAAAAGAAAACCAGTCTTCAAGCATACAAACAAATAAGCAATAATATGGAAAAAAAGATCTTTGGTATTCCAAAGCTGGACTAAAATAATTATCAAAGCCAAAATAATCTGCCCATTTAAGAAAATATTGACGTTAGAGCATGGAACTTTCCTGCTAAAAATAAAATGGAGGTCAAAAAATAAACTTTTGTTTTTATTCCTCATATACATATTCCTTGATGTTAAAGTCTTGATTTGGAATTTTTTTAATGCTACTATTTATAAAATTACTCTTGAAATTAGCATCAAGAAGGTTCTAAAAATTATGATACATCATTTTTGCTTTTTATTATTAAAATGGTTTTTAAATTTAAATATATTTTGATCACATTTTTCCTCTCCCTAAAGGTCATCCAAATACGCTCCACCTCCCTACAACTTTAAGTTCTTTCTCAGGAAACAAAAAGTCCCCAAAACTAAGGAAAAATATTAACACTATACAAGAAGCAAAACAAACTACCTCCCAAACTGTAGCCAAACAGAAGCAGACACAAACAAATAACTTTGGCATTCATTTTATGTTTGTCAGCTGCTCCTGAACATGAGGCCCATCCTGGAGGGGTTAACCCAGTGTCACCGCATTAGAGAAAAATGATTTTCCCTCTCCCTGCATGTGTAATTGACAGTTTAGTTGTTAGCTTTTATCCTAATGACTAGGTTTTCATTAATTAATTAATTCATTCATTTATTTCTTAAATATAATGCAATAAATATAATAAGATAAAACAAAAACTATCACACTGGAGTTGAAAAAGAGAAACCAAGGAAAGGAAAAGAACCCGAGAGAAGGTGCAAGAATACGAAACTCACTCATCACACACTCAGGAATCACTAAAAAAAAACGCTAAACTGGAAGCTTAGGTGTATACACAGGGCCTGGCGCAGACCCTTGCAGCCTCTGTGAGTTGATATGAAATTTGATCACAGTCTCTGTGAGTTTATATGAATTTTGATCATTTGACTTAGAGGGCCATGTTTTTCTTGGTGTCCTCCATCCCTTCTAGCTCATACACTCTTTCTGTGGTCTCTGCCTGAGCTCTGACAGGGAAGGATTTGATGGAGCCATCCCATTCAGGGCTGGCTGTTTCAGGGTCTCTTATTCTCAGTGTAGTATCTGGATGTGGGCCTCCATGCATGTCGCCATCTGCCACAGAAGGAAGCTTCTCTGATGGTGGTTGACCAAGGCTCTGATCTACAAATGCAGCAGAGTATCATTAGCAGGCATAAATATAACGACTTTTTTTTTCTATTTTTAGATGAGTACTATTTGGTTTTATCCTGGGTCTCTGTGGTATTTAGTCTCGGGTTCTTGGTGACCCAAGCAGTGGCAGGTATATCTTCTAAAATAAAGTACAATGAATCATCTGTCAACACTTGCGGTTGCTAATCAATGAAAGCTAATCATCTTTTCAAATCAAAAGTCATTCTTTTCAATCTTAAAATGTATTACTGCTGCTTTGTGAAAATCGTCTATGTTCAATTAATTCATTTATTCCTTTATAATTTTCCCTGTTATATGTCACACTTTTATTTATGATCGTGAATATAGATTAAATTCTGCTCAATACTTGTCATTTAATTTATCACTGATAAATTATATTATATGTCAGGCACGTTTTTAGTATGAAAAACTAAAATGAATTGTTCAAATTATTATGAATAAGTTTTGGTCTCAAGAAGATGATACCATCATTTCAGATTGAATAATTTTAATGTATTACTTCCAGCAGCTGCCATCTGAGTACAAGAATGGTAATACTTAGCCCAAAATTGTTTAACTGAGCCATCCTGTTTTCTTGCCACATCTTTATGTTTGGTCGATATATCAGAACTGACTGATTAATTTCACATGAATCCCTTTTATATCGAAGTTCTCAAGCTTTTTAAATCTGAGGATTGCATGCTGTCTTTGAAATTTCTAGAAGACATTCTTAAACAGATGATCAAACACAGCTTTGTCCTCCTTCTCTGTAACCGATAGTATTTTTGCCATTATCTTGAGCATCACTTAACGGTTAACTACAAATCACTGTCACTTTAAATTCAAGTATCTTACTTAGGATCAGATCTTGTCTGGATAATAGTAGCAATTTCACTAACTGCTCCTTCGCTGTTCACGTAAGTACATTGAAGGCTTTGCTGGCATATATATGTCTTTCACGTGCTCCAGTTGCTGCTGTACAGGGCAATGTCTCCAGGATCCAGACTTCCTTTTCTAGCGAGTGTGTGATGTCCTCCCCTACATGGCTTCCTTGTCTTTGTTTCTCTTAAAGATAGAGAAATTGACTTTCAACAAATGCTACTAATTAACATTATCGCAGACAGTTGACAAAACATTATCGTGGCTTGTTGCTTGTGTCTTGACATGGTTTCTATATGTAAAAGACTGTTGCTTTTATCTCTGTATCTCTGCCTCAGATAACTATTTTGGAAGAACCTTTGTAATAATTACTCCAAGTACAGAGAAAAGTTACTATGGAGTGCTTGGCCATATATGTGACATGTTTACCACACTCCTTTATCCCAAGTTCAGGGAACATCACTGAAGAAGGAGTAGAAAGAGTCTAGGAATGAGAGGTTAGACAGGACTCCTGTTAACTAGATCAAGACAGTCAATTTTCAACATCTTTCAGGGAAGGCTTACAAGGCCCTACCCTAGCTGAAGACTTAATAACAATTGATAGATGCTGAAGGAGGGAGTTAGTTTTCTTTGGCAGTGCTATCCATAGTAAATTGCCCATGCCATAGTACAGGCTCCTATACCCATTCACATATGGATAGCACAAATTCAGCCTTATTGAATTAAGAAGAGGAGGAGCAGGAGAAGGGGGAGGAGGAGCAGGAGGAGGGGAACAGAAATAGGAGGGAGAGAAGGAGGAAGAAGAAGAGAAGAAGAACAAGAAGGACAAAAAAGAGGAGGGGTGGGAGGGGAAATGGAGGTGAATTTGGGAGAGGAACATGAATAGTGGGGTCTAGGAGAGTTAGACATGGATAACGGGTGGTGATGTTAAAAATACGGTGTATTAGTATATGAATTTCCTAAAGAATAAATAGAAATAGTATGTTAATAAAAAGAACCTTAGTGATGATATTTTATTCTAAAATTGTATTTATTTCTTTAATGAGTAGCTATTATGTGTTTTTGTGTATGTATTTTACCAAAGTAATTTACCAAATTAAATGTTTTTTTCCCCACTTATTTTTGGTAGGAGATGGATGCTAGGAAAGAAACAGTAAAACCAAGAGAAATGAGCCAATTTTATTCTTGGAACACAGCCTAAAAAAGAAAAATAGTTAGAAACTGTTACTTCAGATCAGCACCAGCAATCTTATACACACAAACAAACTACAATAACTTGCAGAAATGCTCTAGATAAGTTCTGGGAAGGCAACTATCAAAAGTATGGTCACTTTTGTGGCAGTAACCCACGTTAGTTGAGTTGTTACTGGAAATAGCAAACAGGCAGAAATTAAAAGAAGTTTCTGAAATATGTAGTCTTCAGTTGTCTAACAAGTTTGCAGATCCTCCTGTCTCTCTGCCATCTCAGCACTATGGTTATGGGACATATAACCATGCCCAGCAATGGGGTTATAGAACATATAACCATGCCCAGCACTGGGGTTCTGGGATTCATGACCATGACCAGCACTGGGGTTATAGAACATATAACCATGCCCAGCACTGGGGTTATGGTACACATGATCATGCCCTGCTTTCCACATGGGCGTTATGAGTTTGAACTCATGCCACCTCTCCAGCACTACTTTGTATGATGTTTTAATAAAAACTGACAAACCACAGCAATGTGAAAGCAATGTGCATGACCTAACATGAACAGAATAAGTGGAATGCAAATGACAAAGAGATCAGGTGTCATAATAGTTAAATATAGGACAGAAAATCATGAGAACTAATAACTGAAAACATGGAAGACAGTCATGGAAACAGTGTAAAGATAGTAAGCATGAACTGACAACATTCCCTTAACATTTCAGTACGAAGATGTTCAAGGAAATATTGCTATTGATACGAAGGAATTTGAAGATGGATATTATCAGTTTACATGATCAGCCAACTTTAAAATTGAGAGATAACGCTAGACTATTCATATTATTCAGGTGTGCCTAGAAAAATTACATCAGCCCTTAAAGGCAGAAGAGAGGAGAGAACATGAAGAGCCGTGGAAATGAGAGTGAGACTCAATCTACCTTCGGTGGTGTGGGTGAAGCCAATCTCAAGCCAGCTAGTGCAGGAAGCTAATAATGGCTGAGGTTGGTCCTCAACTGAAAACTCAACTAGGAGTTTTCCCTATAGCTATGTGGAACTGAACTCTACCAACAGCCAGTATGATCTTTGGAACCCCTGTGGAGGTTGTTGATTCTTACCCTCAAGATTTTGTTTTGGCCATCAGTTCCACAGAACTTCTAATTGTGATGGGTGTCATTTTTAGCCACTAAATTTACAGTAATGTGTTATGGTAACACTAGTAAACAAATACAATAGGTAACATGAGACTGTTAACCATGGTAGAGAGGAGAAGATGTGTCAAATAGAACTTTTAGAAGTAGGAAGTATTGCAGCGTTAAAAAATAAGAGGTTAGGTAACACATCTTACAAACCAAAAGTGTGAACTGGAGGACAAGTTCAAAACATACAAAATGTATAGCACCAGAATAAAAAAAAAAATAGAACTCTGAAAGGGAAATTTATTAGCTGCCGCTTGCTGGGAAAGAAATCTCTCTATACAGCTATAGAAAAGTTCCTTTTGGCTCAGGTTGAAGGTGTAGTCCACCATGGTGGGGAAAGCATTACAACCGGAGCATGGTGCAGCTGTTCACTCTGCAAAAACAGTCAGAAAGCTAAGAGGGATGCATGGTGGCACTCAGCTCACAATCTCCTTTATATTTCTTTTAGGATTCTGGTTCATGAGATATAATACTACCCACATTCAGGGTGAGTCCTCTCTTCAGCTAAACCTTTCTCAAAATCTTTGCAGAACTTCCCAGGAGTATGTTTCAAATCTTACTCTAAATCCCAACAAGTCAACTAGGAAGACTAGTCACCATAGGGAGATAAGAAAAATCAAGTTAAAATGAGAAATACACCTTTAATTAGTATAGGAGTAAATAACACAAGAGAGAGAG